CCTCCATTCTCCTCTCGGGATCTTGGGCACGCACGCACACACGCCCGGTGTGAGTTTAAGCCACTGGGTCCGGGACACGAACCGCGGTCGTCTATGTGGGAGTCCAGCAACATAGCCATTATGCTAACTGTTGGTCCTTGGGGTCACCCTTTTTAACCTTGCCACTTGCATCAGCTTTCTTGGCGTCAGATTTTTTCTCCTTAGTATCCTGCTTCGCAGCTTTTTCATCTGCCATCTTGTATAGTGGGAAAGAGCCTTTTTAAAAAATTTAATTCATAATAGAGAAGGTGGGAACACCTTCCACAGGGTTCAGTTACACTGGGATCACCTTCCTTCGGTCCTCCAGCCTGCCAGGATCCTGAGCATATGCCCAGGCACCCGAAATGTTTTCAGGCCAGCCAAGCTGGGATTCAGAATGAGATAGGCATGTGGTTCCATATACTTAGTGACTGTCCCACAGAGGCTGGGCTCAGTGTCCTTTGCTAAAAGGATGAAAGACTTGTTACGTAAGAGTGTATTTCTGTAGTTCAGCAGTTGATAACATGTTCAGGTATCCAAGCTAGGTATTATGCTCCTGACTTTTAGATAGATACAGACTGAACTTCTGATCAAACATTCTGTAGTCTAGTTACGAGCATTTGTATCAGGTCTTACCTGTCTAAATAGAGTAATAGGAGCGTTCCCATATCCAGTGGAAATAGATTTGGGACATATTGTGAAGAAGACAAGTTACAGGAAAATAAACCCACTATGAACTTACTTATTTAGTTATTTAAAAGTAAATTCTGAGGGGACCAGCACGTGGTGTGGTGATAAAGGCATTGGACACTCCCACACAGCTGACCACGGTTCAAGTCCCGACCCTGGTGATTTGCTTTCTCACTTTCTCCCTCTCTCTATATATATATTTCTCTGGTCAAATTAAAGTAAGGGAATGCATAAAATTAATTCTTTAAATTTTTTTTATTTTAACACATATCTATTTTTTAATATTTTTTAATTTAACTTTATTTCATTTTTTAAATTTTGACTAGAGAGAGACAGAGTGAAAGGGGGGGGGGAGTGAGAAACCAAGGCACCAGGTCCAGGACTTGAATCATGGTTGGCCATCATGTGGGAGTCCAGTGCCCCTAACCACCATGCCACCTGCTGGCCCCTAAAATATCTTCTAAAAAAAGTAAATTCTGGGGCTAGCAGGTGGTGTGGAGGTTAAGGTGGCTGGATCCCACATGAATGACAGTGTAGTTCAAGTCCCAGGCCTGGTGGTTTGAAAATCATGCTTAATGTGTGTGTGTGTGCGTGTGTGTGCGCGCGCACACGCGCATGCCCTAAGTCCCAACAGGAGAATGGAGAAGAAGGGATTGTGGCATGGCCATTCTTCTTGGGAGTGATTTCTCTCTCTCTCTTGCTCTCACTCTATCCCCAGCAAACATATGTGCCTGATAGTAAAATGAAAACAACCAAGTAAAACAAAGTAAAACCCTATATTGCTGTGTAAAAGACACCCACCATTCAAAGGACCTGAGGAGTAGGACTGGGTATGGTGTAGATGGACTTTCAGTTCTTTTTTTATTTATTTTTATTTTTTAAATAATTATTTATTTGATTTTTATTGTAATTTGATGAGAGAGAGAGAAAGTAAGAAACCAAGCCACCAGGTCTAGGACTTAAACCGTGGTCAGCCATGCAGGAGTGTCCAGCACCCTAACCACCATGCCACCTGCTGGTCCCGACTTTCAGTTCTTACTTCTTGCACTGTATTCTATTACAGTTTGCTAAAGTGGGCTGGCTGACCCTGTAGCCTTGTGGTTAAAGGAACTAGATCCCACATGACCAAACTGTTGGAATCCCAGCCCTCTGGCTTGAAAAACACATTGGGCATGTATGCATGTACACCCCAAATCTCCACAAGATGGAGAAACAGAGAAGGGATTGCAGTGTGACCACAGTGTGACCCACTGGAGGTGCCTACTCCCTCTTCCTGTCTCTTTCTGGCAAGTGCACGTGCTCTGCAGCAATTAAAAAATATATACATCGGACCAGCA